CAAAAGCCTTCTCCCGACGTCTCATTCCTGAACGCTGCCTTTTTTTTTTTTTTCCTCTCTCTCTTTTTTTTTTTTCTGAAGTCTTTCCAGGTTTCGGTGGGGGTTTCTAACGAGCGATTTACCAAAGGAAAGGTTTTATTAACACCTCTGGAAACTCTAAAGTTGGGAGGGAGGGAGAGCGGGGCCGGATAGGAAGGCAAGTAACACAACACGCTGACCTACTGGCACCATTCCGAGCGCAAACCCGCAGAGCCCCGCAATGGTGGGAAAAACTCGGCGCAAGGAGAGCCAAAAACTCGGAGCAAGGAGGCCCCCCAGGCCACCAGCGCCTACTGGTGGCCCTTACCTTTGCTCTGCCCGGGTGGCAAGCAGGGAAGGAAGGAGGGAGCCGAGAGGGACACGCTTTTCCAAGGAAACGGGCTGGCTGGAGACCACGGGAGCTGAGCTCTCCCAGGCGCTATTTTTCCTTTCTCGCCTCTGCACAGAACTGCAGATAATAGTTGAGGCTACAGGTAACTGAGCCTGTTCTTATTCAATTTCCCTAAATGGCCCGGAGAGCACTTAAAAGCCCAGAGAGCTTCTGGCCAGCATTTTCTTATTAACTAATTTCACTTCGATCCTATTAAAGTGTATGCTTTATAACCTTCAAATGAACCTCTCTCGCTCCCTCTCTCTCCATCTCTCTCTTAAAACAAAGCCATTATCTTCTAATGACGGAGTCGGGCTCTTAAAAATGCTGCTTCCCTCTTGCCACAGTATTGCAGGGCGCGCACACGCGTTTGAAAGTGCGAGCACACACCCCAACATACACCCCAACACACATAAATAAACCGCGGTATCTCCGCGCTCCCGACGCCTGAAGCGGAGGCTCCGAGCAGCTGCCATGGGCAGAGGGCGCTAGAAAATATTATCGGGGGAGACTTGCTTTATTTCGCTCTGGGAAAATCTCTGCGATAATGGCTTTTAAATGGACACATATATTTACCATTTTCAAACGGGTTCTGCTGTTTCCTGGTAACGTTCACCGCAAATGGTAATAATAAAAGATGAAGTATTTTTTCTCACCTTAGGTCATTAGATTTACAGACAAGGTACTAAATCATTTTGGCTCCCCAAACCTTTAAGGAGAGGCGAGAGCTCCCTTCCCCTTCTCCTCCCCCTCCGGAGGAGACCTGGGACGGGAAAGGAGACAAAACAGTCGCTACGGCTCGGGAAAAGGCTCCCCCAAAGAGTTTACCACTTACCACTACTACCAGTACTAACAGTAATAATAATAATAATAATAATAATAATATAGTTGACGCCGGCTGCAGAGCGCAGATTGTCAGTGGCCTCTTCCCAAAGCCTCAACACGAAGGGTCATTAATTGTGTTTTCTTTCCAAATCATATGTCACTGCAATTAACAGATTCTGATCAGGAGACTCCGTTCAGATTGATTCCATATGCGATAAGGAATGTGCAGCTTGTTATCTATCTGTCGCCTTGGAATTATGGAAAAGCTTCAAACGTGTAATTTGAAGAGTCTTTTACCCGTCTCTTTGATCTTTCCTCTTATTCTTTTTAACTCTTTTCTAACTGCGGCGCTCCCCCCCATTCACTTGCCTGGTTATCCCCTCCCCTCGGTGCCTTTGCCCCGTGTCCCGGCCGTGGGTTTCCCCGTGCGGCTGCACCGCGAGCACCCCTCGAGCGGTACCTCCCGCGGCCAGGTAAGGGGCTGAGCCCCGCCGCCCCCAGCCCAGGGAGAGCCGGCGGGCCAGGGCCGGTCCCTGGGCCGGTGTGAGCGCGGCAGGGGCAGGGCGAGCGCGGCGGTGTTTGGGCTAATAAATCAGAGCAGGGCAGCCCGTCGCGACAGGTCCCGTCCTGGGGACACGTGTCGGCCCGACCGCCGACCCCGCGCTGCTCCGCGACGGGACGGTCTGGGACACCCCCCTCTCCAACCTTCCCCCCGCTTCCGCAGCGCAGTCGCTTCCAACCCACTCCACTCCGACTCCCGGCCCGGTCCAGTCCAGTCTGGCCCGGCCCGGCTCCGGACCACCCCCGCACGCTCCGGGCCGCCCCTCACCCCCCTTTACCGCCTCCCCCCGCGCTTTGGAAGCGGGTTTCGCGTGGGCGCCGCTCGCTCCCGCAGCCCGCGCGCTCCGGCCGCGCTTCCTGCCCGTTCCGTTCCCATTAAGAGACCATCCCTCATCCTCGCCCTGACCCGGATTCATTCGCCCCCATAAATTTCTCGCCTACCGGCTCTTCTCCCCCGCTCTTCCCTCCCCTCCTTCGGCTCCCCTCCGGGTGCAGCGAGCCCTGCCTCCTCTCCCCCCGCGCCAGATGAACCGCTATCGATTGCGTTGTTGATTAAAAATCTATCGCGATGACCCCAGACAGCAGCCGCACATAACAAAATAATCTCGGCAGCTTTAAAAAGACGGCAAATGGGGCGCAGTGGGGACCCCTCTCTCCAAGGCGCGGAGCGCCCGGGTTGCAGCGCCCGCCAAGTCCGGCCCGTCTGAAGCCCCAGGGCCGAGGGGGAGAATTTCCCCGCCCGGCCACGGGTTTGCCGGATTTTACAAACTCTCTTCCTCTCTCTCTGTCTCCCCCGCCTCATTTTCTTTTCCACGAAGCAGATATTTTTTAAAAGTCGTGGTCTGCTCTTCCGAACCGCCCGCCGAGCCGCTCCGCATCACAGCGGGCTGGGCTGAGCGATTCGTGCCGAAGAGTTTGCTGGAAACCAGGGCATGGGGATTCACTGCCTGTTTTCCCCTTGGAATTAAAAAAGAAATAAACATATATCTGAATTTAATATTGTTATCTCCTATGCATTATACTATCAAAGCCCATTACAGGAGCCACGTTGAATAGAGGAAAATAAATTCCTCCAACCCAGAGTTGTTTTTTGCACTAGATTAGCAGATAGGAAATGCTATAAAGATGAACTTAATACGATTAGAGATGTTTCCTACAGATTTTCATATATTGATTCAGGGAATTTTAATTCTGGAGCTTGCTTTGCTATAATCCGCATTTATTACAAGCTGATATAGTTTTATTATAGCAAGCGATCAAGGTCGATTCCTTTAACAGCATAATCTGACATGAATTTCATTTTTAAAGAAATGTAGTTATAAAAATCCATACTGTGGGCACAGTGGTTAGATTGTACCTAAATCATATTTTAAAGGCAATAAATCCGCAGAGCGTTTAAGAGCAGAGGGGAATGTGGATACACGGCTCCCCTGCACACACAATCCCAACTCCTTACAAGAGCCCTCAAACTTTATATATATGTATAAATGCTGAATTTTTAGAGAGCAGGTAAGGACGGCAGGTTCAGCTCGCCTCTTCAGATCGCCCACGGCAAACGCGGCCCTACAGGTTGTATAAACTTTTTAATGTTTCACTTAAGCCTCTTCCTCTAACAAAAGCATAACGACCCAGGATACACTTGCGCTTTCCAACCCCGCGCTGCGATTGAACTGCCGTTTAACTAGCCTCAAAACGCTAAATTACAGCTCACACGCTGCCTTGAGAAAGAGGGGGGGAAACATCCCGTAATTCGGCATGTGCGGAGCATAAAAAGGCTGTCCCGTGATTAAAACACCTCGCGACGCCCTCGCCGCAGCCCCCGGCCGCGGGGCCGCTGCTCGCGAGCAGATCCCCCTGCGCCAGGTACTTCCTTCCAGCCCCGCCGTGCTGCAGAACACAGGGAATAAGCAAAATGATCATAAATTTCCTAATTAGAGATTTCGCACCAAGACAAAAAGGTGTTAATGAGTTTAATTCCAGTGCCTGTCATTGTCCCTTTTTTCACACCACTTATTTACTAATGGCCCAGAGGGCTGCTCCCGTCTCTCCTTTGTTAAGATTTTAATTTGCCTTCTTTTCTGCCTTTGATGTAAAATTGTGACCTACAACTCTTTGAAGTCCCTTATTAGGAGGAAAATTAACTTAGCTTTTCCACTGTATCTGCCCACTGTTAGCCCAGACAAAACGTGGAGAGCTCCTTAAAGATTCAGTACATTAGGAAATTTTCTTTAGTGTAGCTATGGAAATGCAAATGTTAAAGAAAAAAAATCTAATAGACTTTTAAATCTATATTAGGAGGTGTAACCCTTGCCAGGGCCGCGGAGGGGGAAGGGAAGGAGGGAATATCTTAATAAAGAAACCAAAATGAGCCCGGGATAGAAAAGGCTGTAAATTTCAAAACCTGGAGAGAAAAGGAAAGAGAGAAAAAAAAAAAAAAAGAAAGAAAAAAAGAAAGAAAGAAAAAAAGCAGGGGGAGGGAGGAGAGAACCTTTATTTTTAAATGTCACCATAACTTTTTCCTGTGCCTCTCGTGTGCCGTTTCCAGCTGACACCCTAGCTTCCTATGCCTTTGCTTGGCTGAGTGGGGGGAGGTGGGGGGAGGAAGAGGGGGAGTTAGGGAAGAAATTATATCTAAATCTATCTCGGGATAATTAGAATACCATGAGGCAGGGTTAAACCTTTGTAAAACACACAACTGATTGGCGATTGCTAAAAGGAGATTTGAAAGCAAGTCAAATCAAAGATCGCTAGGTGATCACACAGACTTTGAAAAAAAAAAAAAAAAAAAAAAAAAAGGCAGGGACAAACCCGGCGAGAGCAGCTCCGGGCACGAGAGAGCGAGCGAGGGAGAGAGAGGGAGCGCGAGAGACTTAAAAGAAATAGGAGGGGCTTGCGGGAGACTAGAAATGTCAATCAGAGCTCCGAGTCCCAATAATCTCGGGCAATCTGTTAGGACCTGACCTGGGTCCACTCAGATCAATAGGGAAAGTGGGAGCAGCGAGCGGAGCGGCTGCCTGGCGCGGCGCTGCGCGGGGCCTCGCGGAGCGGAGCGGCTGCGCGGCCGCCCCCATGCCTGAGAGCTGAGAGGTGCGCGCGGGCGCGCGAGGAGCGGCGCAGGAGGCAGCGCGGAGGAGGAGGAGGAAGAGGCAGCGCGGAGGCAGCGCGCGGGCGGGCGGGCGCCCCGCGGGGCCCCGCGCCGCTCGCCATGTCCTTCCCGCAGCTGGGCTACCAGTACGTGCGGCCGCTCTACCCGCCCGAGCGGCCGGGCAGCGGCGGCGCCCGCGGCGGCGCCGAGCTCGCCCCGTCCGGGAGCCTCTCCAACGTGCTCTCCTCCATGTACGGCGCGCCCTACGCCGCCGCGCAGGGATACGGAGCCTTCCTGCCCTACGCGGCCGAGCTGCCCATCTTCCCGCAGCTGGTAAGCGACCCGCCGCGGCGAGCGCCGCGCGCCGGCCTCGGCCTCCGCGGGGGCACCGCGCGCCCACTCGCGAGGGGGATCTCGGCCGCGGAGCGAGCGGGGGCTGCGGGTCTCGGCGGGGTGAGGCCGGCGGAGGCGGCGGCCGCAGCGCTGTCCCCGCGGAGGTGCCCGGGCTGCGCTGGCTCCGCCGGGGCCGGGGCGCGAGGGCAGAGCGGGGGGCACGGGCGGAGCGCGGGCGCTGGATGGGGAAAGGAAAGCGCGGCGCTCGCGCGTCTCCTGGGGAAGATTTGGGGCTTGAAGCCCCCGCACACGGGCGCAACGGGGGCCGCGATGCGAACGGACCGAGCCGGGCCGCGCCGTCCGGGCCGCTCCTCACTCGCCCGCCTTCCCCCGTGCAGGGCGCGCAGTATGAGCTGAAGGAGAGCCCGGGGGTACAGCACGCCGCCTTCCCCCACCACCACCCCGCTTTCTACCCCTACGGGCAGTACCAGTTCGGCGACCCGTCGCGGCCCAAGAACGCCACCCGCGAGAGCACGAGCACGCTCAAGGCCTGGCTCAACGAGCACCGCAAGAACCCGTACCCCACCAAGGGCGAGAAGATCATGCTGGCCATCATCACCAAGATGACCCTCACCCAGGTCTCTACCTGGTTCGCCAACGCGCGCCGCCGTCTCAAGAAGGAGAATAAAATGACCTGGGCCCCCCGCAGCAGGACTGATGAGGAGGGCAACTCCTACGGGAGCGACCACGAGGGGGAAGAGGACAAGAGGGAGGACGAGGAGGAGATCGACCTGGAGAACATCGACACCGAGAACATGGAGAGCAACAAGGACGAGCTGGAGGACGAGCTGCAGGATGCTGAGCTCCTGCACTCCGACTCCAAGACGGACTCGGAGGGCTCCGAGGGCTTTGAGGACCTGCCCGGCTCCGAGGAGCGCTACCTCAAGGGCGCCGAGGGGGAGCCGCACCACCTCCACCACCACCACCTCCACCATCACCACCACCACCTCCACCACCACAAGTGCGAGCTTCCCGCCGCCGCCGCCACCACAGCCCCGGCCGGCCTCGAGCCCCTCAAGGCGCCCCCGCCACCCCCGCACCACCTCTCCCCGTCGTCCTCCGCCTCCTCCTCCCCGACAGACGGCACTTTGGGCGGCTCCGCGCCCAAGCCCAAGATCTGGTCGCTGGCCGAGACGGCCACGAGCCCGGACAACCCGCGCAAGTCGCCCGGCGCCAACTCGCCCCCGGCGGCCGCCCCGCAGCCGCTGCCGCCGCTGCCGCCCCACAGACTGATGCCCCCCTGCCCGCTGGGCAAGTTCCCCAACTGGACGGGGCGCCCCTTCCACCACCAGCACCACCAGCACCACGCCGCGCACCCGCTGGCCTTGCTCGGGCCCCCGCACCTCCTGGGGCTCGGAGCCGCCGCCGCCGCCCCCGCCGCCTTCCCGCGACCCGCGGAGCCGGCGCAGAGCGCGGAGCCCGCCGGAACAGGTGACCGCTGAGGGGACGCGACGGGACGGGACCCAGCGGGACGGAGCGGGCGCGCGGGGCCGGCGCGGAGCCCCCCCGGGCCGGGCCGGGTCGGAACCGGCCGCTCTCCCGGCGCAGCCGCGGCCGGAGCCGCCGTCGGGGCCCGCGCAGCTCGCGCGGCGGCGGCGCCGCTTTTCCGCTCACTCGCTCGAAAATTTACCTTCCTCCAATGGAGATTTTTTGTTGTTGCTGTTGTTGCTGCTAAAATCGCCCGCGCGGTAGCTCTTTGTGGGATAGACCCAGCCGTAAGAGCCGCGCTCGTCTTTTCTTCTTGTCTTCTTTTTTTTTTTTYCTCCACTTTTTTTTTGTGGTTATTTCTGCAATAAAATGACCTCTCTCTCATTTTTTTCTTTTCTTTTTTTTTCCTCTTGTCATATTTGCAACTTGATAAGAAAAGATCTAAGCGCTAGTGGCTTAATTCAGGAATGGGGGAGAAAATAAAATGGGCGCTATAAAGGAACACTTTTTTTTTCTTCTTCTCTTTTTAGATCGATCTAGTGCCTTGGAAGTAGAGAAAAAGTTAATAAAGACAGCTTTCCAGCCCGTTCAGAGGCGGTAAGAGATTACTTCCTCGATCTCCTAAGAATATATAGAGAGAGTTGTAAGTGGTTAGCTTATTTTCTCCTCTTCTCTGGCTCCTTTTGTAGGGCGGTAACTTTTTCTGCCTTAGCAGTGTGGTGGGTTATTCTGATTTCTTTTTTTTTGTTGTTATTGTTGGCTTTTTTTCCCCTCTCTCTTTTTTTCTTTTTCTGTTAATTCCTGTGGATTTTGCGAGTGGTTCCTCGCAGAGAGCCAAGTTGTGTGAACGTTTCTTCCGCTGCTTGGATTTTGTTTTTCTCCTGTCAGAAACGCACAGGGAACACAGGAGGGGAAGGAAAAAAAAAAAAAAAAAAAAAAAAAAAAAACTCAAGCTCGTGTTATAGGCAGCTCAGGCAAATATCAGGCCTGGATAAAATCAAATAAAATGACTTCTTACTAGTCTC